GTCGAGCAAACACACTACGACCCGGAGGAAGAAGAAAAAGAAAAAGAAAAAAAAAAAAAAAAGAAAATCGATCGATCGGAAAAACGTACACACACACACATTCGTCGGACTGTGTAGGGACATTTTGCATCAATTGTGTAAACACGAGACAGAGGGAGAAAGTGTGCGTGTGTGTGAGAGAAAGAAAACTTTGAAAAAAAAAAAAAACGTCAAGAGAGAATGCGCGTGTGGAAGAGCGAGAGCGAGAGGTAAGAAGAGAACTAAAAAAAAAAAAAAAGAATGGAAAAAGCGCGAGCGAGAAGAATAAGACGACGGAAGCTAAAAGAAAAAAAAAAAACAAAATGTACGAACGAACAATTGATACTGTCTTCGTTTTTTAAGGTCGTTTCTCCGTTCGACACGCTACTATATGACTATTGACATTTGTCATTGGATTATTACCGACGACGATGAATTGTCATTATTATTACGAAACTATTGCTATTATTATTGTGACGAAATGATTATTATTATTATTATTATTATTATTATTATTATTAATTATTATTAACATTTATTATTGACATTATTATCACGATTTATTATTGCGATGATAATTATTGCGATTATTACTATTGTCATTATTATTATTATTATTATTATTATTATTATTATTAATTATTAATTATTATTATTACGTGGTACAATAAAAATTTAATAAGCATCCGATGCGCACAAGTCTCGTGACTACAATCACATCTCTTCCCTCCAAATCGTACGCACGTTTTTTTTAGTTGTGATATCTCTTCCGATTTTAACAACGTGCTGACCTCTGTTACGCGTGAAAATATCGTAATCAACGTTACTATTCTCGGGTATTAATTTATATCTCGTGACCTTCTTTCTATTTTCCTTCCGTTCCAACGCGTACGAGACATTCGGTGGAACAACAGATCGAAAACGCGTCAAACGATAATAGAGAAAATGAAAATATCACCGATATATCGCGTTTAAACGTACGGCGGGATTCTTTGCCAGCTCTTTTGAATAGACGTTTCGAGAATATCACAAGAGATGAGAGACGTCTCTCGTTTAAGAAACGCCACGATGAATTCATCACGAAGCTCAAGATTAAAATAATAATACCCGTGTTTTTCCACACTCGAAACAATACTCTCAGGCGGCACTCACCTCGACGAAATACATCATTTATCGCGTGGCGCGCAGACAAAGATAAAAGTTGCAAAATAAGAAACGGCTATTCTGCGAACGCCGGCGCGGTCGATACACAGACGCAACCGTGAAACCGTCAGCATTTACGTCATGCAAGTATCGGCCGATTTTCGACGTTTCGGTGTCAGTGGGGTCATCGATGGAGAGACTACAATATCGCCGGTACTTCCAACCGGGATACTAAAAGCCAGTGCACGGCCGATCGGCGCGGAGAATAGACGATGATTCGCCTTGGCGTTCGTGGAAGATCGGTTTGCTTCGAGAGTCTCGATAAACATCTGGAGACGTTGGGCAGTATCCGCGAGTCGTCCACGATTTTTAAGAGCAGCTCGGGACATACAGTGGCGAAACAGCGTTTAAGATGTTTGATCGATTCCGAAACGCGGTCAAACGGCACTGAAGGCCGTCGTTCGTCGTCAACGACGTCCGCGTCCACGGCGCCGACGCCAGAGCCAAGGAAAACCTGCCTGTACGACCTTCACGTGGAAAACAAAGGTAATTATCAATGGAAATTTCTTTCGTTCCTCTCGTAATGCGTAATAGAGTTGAGACGCCGAGAAATTCGTAGCGAGAGTCGCAAGCAGAATGTCCAATTGAGATTCGAGTATTCTGCTGCCGAGAGCCACGAATTTCTGCATTCCTTTCCACTCCTGCGAGATACAGATCCAATCCCTTCAGATATACAGTTGTTGCGCGTTCAAACACTTTCACGAAATTTTTCGATATTCCGTTAATACTCGAAAAAAATATACTGATGAAATTTGAAACTAATGTGAAAATATACGAGATATTTACTGCAAACATGCACTACACAAGTAACTAACATGCACTTCGCAAACATACACGATCGAAGTGATTGAATATTCAATTATTCAGTATACTAGCAAACCACGTTTATTCAAATTATCTTTAGCAACGTTGCATAATTATACCTACGATTATGACGTACAAAATGTGTGTGTGTGTGTGTGTGTGTATTCGTTTCAGATTTTATCGATATAATAATCACGGTAATAACCCCAATAATTCCAGTGCGAATAAAATTTTAAAAAGTTCCATATATAACACATATAATATTCGTACTCAAAAACTCCATGGTAAGTGTTCAAATACGTGAATATCGT